AGGATTTCAGGATCACTGGAAGCAGTATGTCCTTGCTATCCTGCTCAACATTGTCTCTTTGGTCTTTTGCATTTCAGAGGAGTGGAAAAGCAAAGTTTCCTAGTCCCTGCATATTGAACAGTCATGGAAGCCCCATGACCATATGGTCTTTCAACTCACCCTTAGGCTTCAAAAAATTGAAAACATTAAGACTTGTACCATCAGCAATGATTTCCAACCTTACAAACACTCCTACACTGTCACACAATTACATAACCTTCTCAAGCTCCATTTTTGAAGCTATATAAAATCCTCAGTCCTCTCTACCCAGCTGTGAAGACAATTCCAAATCATTTCTCTTTTAGTGGTTAGAAATATACAGAGATTACTGGTTTATCTTCTAAGTGCTGGGATAAGGTTTGTATTATTTGCTCCTTTTCCCCCAAGGTTGCAACCACCAATTTCTGGAATATAATCTACACTTTCCCTGGCAGAGAAATCACCTAGTCTTTAAAAATTGAGACTTTCTATTTTCTAGTGTATCTTAATACATACCTCCCTGAACAGATAAAGACACTGAAACTAACAGAAAATTTATGACAGTTTTGATATAGTGTGTGTATATATAGCAACAAATACACAAAATAATGCTACTCTTGCTAGAAGGGCTTTCTTTATTTAATAGAAATGCTTCTGAGTTGGTTTCATATAAATGTTTTCCCCTCATAACATCAAAAATGATGGCAAAAGAGTTGGGAAGCTTCACCATTTCCAAAAATCCCTTTGAATTAACGTGTTGATTTTGGAGAGAAAGCAACACAAAAGGCATTATAACATTTAGCAGCAGGTTTTGCTGCAATCACAAAGCAACTAGAATCAAATACCTGCAACAATAAAAAAAAAAAAGTAGCTTGCTTTCCAAATAAGTGTTTTTACTTGTGAAAACACAGCAAACTGGGAGCCTTCATACTTACCCAGCACATGATCTCTCTCTCCCTAGTCAGTCACCAGCTGCATGATTGATCCTGATCAAGTGATGTAACATTAACCAAGGCACTTGGGATTCTGGGATATGTAGTTCAGTAGCACCCCCAAATGCAACTCATATGGATTGCCTGTATTACCTGTACTATTTGAGAATATTATTTGTTTGGAGGCATTAGGTGAAAAATAGTTTTACATTTTATGGGTTGCCTGTAATACACATTTATTGAAGAAGTTATTACATTTAGTTTAAAATTAAGTATTCTGAAGGGATTTGAACAGCATTCATGGAGACAATCCTTTCCTAGTTTTCATTTGACATTATCTGAGGAGATACCAGAACAGAGAACATTTACCTTTAGCAGAGCACCTTAGGCCAGAGTGGCACACATACATTTTCACTGTGTTCCACACCTTCAAACGACGAAATGACCATGCAAACTGAAACAAGCAAAGACTAGGGCGAAGGTGAGGGACAAATAGAAGCTGATTAATTGTTTGTGAGGTTTGTGGTGTTAATCTTGGATGCTTAGGCCATTTATTTTGGCCACCACAGAATCACATTCTAGCTACAAATCACTCTAATGTCACATACAGGAAAGAGGAGCTGAAATGGCAGAGTGAAATGGAAACGTGGAATAAATGATCTGTGGAGACAGATTTGGGGATCCAATTATCAAGAGCAGGCACTCCTAGAGCAAACCACTTTATGGACACCTGAGCAAGATGTGAGGCCACACATGCACAGTACAATTATAGCAGAGATATAAGACACCTGGAAACACTTTATTTCCCCTTTCAAAGATCCAAATTTTTATTTTAAAATAAATAGAACAAATCCAGAGTTAGAATTTGACAGACCTAATGTATAATACCACAAATCATACAAAAGAAGCTGTAAAAAGGCATGAGACAATTCATCCTAAGGGAGATCCTAAAAGAGAAATACTAACCTGACTGTGAACTAAACTTTTTTCCTAAGGAGCATGAACAGCTAAAACAAGTTACATCTGAATCATTCTGCTTAAAATAAAAGGCACTTAGTATATCTACACAGCAGTGGCAAAGATTGCTTGGTCCTCTGTAAAACAATTTTTTTTATTTTTTTATTTAAAGAGGATTGATGCATATGCAGGGAGAGATCACCTAATCAGACAAATTTACAAGTGGAAATCTCTGAAGCCCTAACTCACCTATAGCTGTACACATGACATTTTCATAGATATGGCCTCTAGACAGATTGACAGCCATGCCAGCAGAACTTAACTTTCATGGAAGGTTTTGAGAGATCCCTGTGTTCATTTGTTTATGTGACTTCCATTAACCTTTTAGATACAGGACTTGATTATTTTAACTGCAGCTGCTGAAGGAAACTGTATCAAAGACAGAAAGAGCTGTTCAAAAAGTGAAAGAATATGCCCCACAATAAGCAATAACATGGTCTTACCTGAGAAATCCAAAAAATTCTGACCGTAAACTATGGAAAACACATTTCATATGGGGATTATAAGATATGCAGATCTTTGGGTTTGGGGTTCTTTTTTTTATGTTCTGGAGTTTTTTGTGTAAAGTAGCAGCAGTTCTCAGGTTTCCAGTAATTTCCAGAAAGTCTGTGTGGCTTCAGGTTTATATTGACAGCTGTATGAGTATTTAAGTTGCCTGGATTTGCAATTTTGTAGAGCTGTGTAGATACAATAAGCTCTTCCTTTAGTATATTATGCCACCGAGATTCACTGATGACATTAACTACATTGTTACCCACCAATCTAAATATCTCATTGCTTTTGCCTTAAGACATTTGCAGCAAAGCATTTGTATAATTGTGCATTTGGGTTTGTTTGGGTTTTTTAATGACTACATTATGTTGCCTATACAGTGTATGTTATACCATTTTTGTCACTGGAAATCATTATTGGGGTATTTGACAAATCACAAATTACCATAAACCATGAAAGTAATACAGGGTTTTTCTTTTTAGCTTTTACCTGGGTTATTTGCTAGATATAGAGTCACTGATAAATTTTTAGAGAGTCAGTATGTAGATGCTTATAAAACCAATGTCTTAGTTCTTGCCAAATTGCCTTGGCGTAGAAGGCAGGGGAGGAGGGACAGACATTTTAAGAATCAGCCTCCAGGCACTTTACAACTGAATTAGTTTGATATGATTTGCTTCTAATGAACAAGCTACCAATAACTTATCACTTTATTTTCCTCTAGGTGCTTTAAAAACAAAGTCTATTAACCATTCTAGCAATTTAGTAGATATTAAGTGTACTGATCTGAAATTCTTTCTTCCCTTCCCCCTATTACAAACATTTGTCTGTTCTTTTTGAAACTGTTTGCCCTTTTCCAGGCCCCAGGCCTCACGTATCCTTCATGAGTTCAGAAGCATCATTACCATTGACTCTAACAGTTCCACCACTTTGTAGGAGGATCCAGACATGCTCAGCTGCTAAAGGTTTTATTTCCTTAACCTGTTCCATAACAGTTCTCTTATATGACTTCTATCTTTTCTAATTATAGTGTCAGTTGACTAGAACCATCAGGAACTGAAATCATTATAGGACTAAAACTGCTCAGAACTGTAGGAGATTTAGTTGTTGCAAGAAACATCATGTTACAATTCAGAGTTTATTTACTAAAAACTGAATTTATGCTTTTCTGGCTCTGTCACTGTATGCACAGTGAGTAGCTACTGCTATCAGGGATGATCCTGCATACAGTAGCTATGATAATGACCAGATGATACCAGACTTTTCAAGGGAGGTATTCATAACAGAAGCTATCTCCTTTAGAGCCAAACCATCCTGGTTACCTACTCTGACCTTCTGTTTAATCCAACCCTCATCTAACAGTTCCATAATTTTTGATAATACTTGATCCAGTGAGTAATTTGTAAAATGTGTTCTAAAAAAGTTCAGAAAAAATGAGGGAAAGAAAAGAATAAAGTCACATGCTCTTTTCTTCCAATCTTGAAGGAGCTGACAGAATTTGTGTTTGGTATCTTCTCCCCTACAGGTGGTATAATTATAAGTGACGCATAGGCAGGCAAGATGGGAGTTATTTCTTTAAGTGGAAATCAGAATGTTTCACATTTTCTCTGTGGCTTGAAGTATGCAGAAACAGCACAACTGGAATGTATAATTTCTTATAAATGTTGGCCAAGTAGAAAGAATATTTAGATGAGGTACCATTGCTTTTGTTCTCTTCCACTAGGACTGAAAAATGTCATTGCTCCTAAAGTGTCAGCATCCTGATACAAAATGTAGAGAAGGTGATTCATACATCAACACAATAAAGCAGGAAGTAATGCTAGTGCTTTCTACTTAGATCAATTTAGAAAGTAGCGTTGTATTTTCATCTCAGTTAGCAAAAGTGCACTTAAAAAGGATGGTTTTATTGGCACAAGCAAGAATAAAATTCCCTGCTGTTATCACATTTTTGTACATCCCTGACTGAGATTTTAGAATAGATTACAATGCAGTCCTCGGTTGAAAGGACCAGTAAACAAATTCAGCATACTTTTTCTTTGTGCACGGCCCTGTCACTGCCATTCTCCCCATCATGCCATGATGTCAAATCAGACTTAACATTAAAAAAAGAAAATCAGGCTTTTAATAAAAGTATTTGACCAGTTTGGTGTTCATAATTGCTTTTATTCCACAAATGACAAATGAATGGTCAGAAAGTAACTTCATGTCTCAAAGCACTAAATGCTTTGCAAGTACTGTTCACAGGAATGTTAAATTCCTATCACAAGCAACAATCTCCCCAAAGCAAGCTCTATCTTGTCAATCCCATGTAGAAATTTTAAAAAACTAAAGCAGAAATGATTGGAAAGGAATCTGAAGAACTTAAACCTTTCTTTTCTTCCTTTTCATCAGCATGTATAATGGCTTCTAACTAATATATATATATTTAAAAATTTTTAGTTGTCATAGAGATGCATATTATATATATATCTAAATCAGACTCTGGGATATGCAGAAAGACCATTGCTGTCAAATGATTAATGTACAGTTAAATGGCAAATCATTTTAAGCATTCCTTTCCCATGGCTCAACATAATCCAAACCAAGATGTGCAAATATTTCTTCCTCACTTCTAGCTTTGAGAAAGATCCTCTGTGGGGAAAAAAAAAAAAAAAAAGGAAGTCAATGAGGGTGTTAGAAATTTCAGCTGATGTATTTTGCTGTTTAAAAGGAGTTAATTTTGACAGGCCTACCCATTGTATCCTCTACAGAATACACTCTCTTCATCAGTGTGCTGACCTTGAAATGTGAAAGCAAGTTAAAAAAAGTATTTCTAATGCTGCTTGATGCTTTCAGTTCTAATGACTAGCTTACAACTTTGTTTTTATTTATTTTTTCAAGACTGTGCACAAATATTAGGACTGGAACTCAAAATCTACATTTTCCTTCCATGAGGGTCAATAGCTTGACTTTCTTCATAAAATGATTAATGATTTTTTAAATTAATATAGTAATGTTCTCTATAAATGCATTCAAGCCAAAAGCTGATTCAATGGTTACACTAATTATGTATAGACAAGCATTAAAAACATTGATGCTTTCCAAATTTCTAGCTAGCTGAAAATGAGGGATCAACAATTGCAACCTCTTTTTTTATAAAAAAATCCCGCACTCATAGTGAGTGTTTTACAGTAAAAATGATGGGGTTTTTTTTCATACCTGCACTTCAGATAATACAGGATAGTATTCTTGCACAGAAACCACCCACAAGCCCATCTCCCCTAAGATGACTGCTATAGTAAAGTGCATAGTCTTATGCATTCATTTCATCACTGAAGTACACTATTAATTGAAAAGGCTGCTCAGGTAGATTAATATTAGAACAGTGAAACCTCCCCATTTAGAGCAATTTGGAAGCAGAAAAGAACTCAATTCAATTGAAAAAGAATTCTTAATATTTTAGCAATTCCTGAATCATTCAAAGTTAAGTCTCAACCAGTGTTCAGCTCCAGTCTCAAACTCCAGTGTCACAAAAACTTCAGAGTTAAAGCTTCATAATCTTCTACATTTACTTTCTACTATAAAAGAGAAGATACTGTCTGGAGTACTACCCACTGATGAATTCTACTGAGTCAAGAAAATCTCTGACTACTGTAAAGTTTAGGAATATTTGTGCTAGCATCTCTGCTTTCTTAGCTTTCTTGAAGAAAGGGTGCTTCCCTGTCTTTTATTCCCATTGAGGTCACATAACTCAAGGGACTCAGAAAGCAGCAAACAGGCAGATGACTGGGACACATAGATCTTGCTTCTGGTTGCTGGCATGTCATTCTTTTTCCTTTCAACTCCCCTTATCGTCAGCAAATCAACACTGGTAGGAAAGACTTGGGGATGCAGCTTCACCAAGCAGCATGGCACTAGCATATGTGAAGGCTACATAATGCTGTCTAAGCTGCTGCACCAACTTATGGAAAGCAGAAAGAACAATGAATAAGAAGGAATAAGCAAAATCGTTGAGCTCAGGACAGCCTCATGCTGCAACTGAATTCTGTTTATGCAGGATCAGTAAAATGTACCTCATCAGTTGGTAGCCACTGGCTTATTGTTATTCTCTATCAGTCTCTTTATCTCCAGTGCCTGATCCATACCTCGGTCCTATCAGGAGCCACCATTTTAACAAGGCATAATGAAGAAATAAACCCATAAACTGAAATGTAACACTAATTGTCAGCTGGACTCAAACTTTATCAGGGATTCAACCAAATGAATTCCATTTCACTGTAGGAGTATTTGAAACTTGAAGTTCTAAGTCCAGCCAGAGTTGTCAAACTGGCAGCTTTCTTAACTATTTTTCAGTGCCACAAAGTAGAATGAAAGCCAGTTGAACTGTGCTAGAAAGATTACAAAGACTAAATTGGATGGTAGAGGTTAGATGCTCCTGAGTGAACAGAGCCAGAGGCCATCAGTATTTCCTTGAGCTTGGAAGACAGGAAGGACAGAAAAGACAGAGAATACAAGGTTCTAATTCTGCTTTTCTAGAGTTCTCAACCAGCAAAGTAGGTATTTAAAAGCGGTTCTATTTGATATCCTCTTGAAACCGTCCAGATTCTTTTATCTTTCTTAGCAAATTATTGCTATAGAGTGAAGTAATACGGAACATTTTCACTATTTTATTTGGAGACACTTCATCTTTAATTAGATGAAAACCATCTTAACGGACAAATAATTAAGGTCAATGGTAATTATGGCAACATGAAGTAATGCATTCTATGTTGTTAAAAAAAAAAGATATAAAATCAGAAAGTAACTTTTAAAATTTTATCTATTTCTGTAATGTCCTGTATAAATATGTATAGTGCAGTCTTCACAAATAGGGCCTTGCCATGCTTTGGACATACTTGCTTATTGTATCCTCGGCATGTATATTTCCCAGATTTACATTTGCAGAACTGTCATGTAACAACTGCCAAACCCACTGAAATGAAGTCTCTCACAATGAGATCAGTACACATTGTCTTAAGCTCTACTGTAAAGGCATTGATTTCAGGCAGTGATACATTTTGTATGTATCAGAGGTTTGTTTCTAGAGTGCACAAAGTACTTAATAAGATATTAGACATCGTTTCCGTTATTCCATAATGAATTCTACTTATATAATTTTAATATTCAAGCACACCATATCAGAAATTTGAGGGAATAATTTGGCCAATTTCTTTATTTTTTTTAAATAAAATCAGAGCAAACATAGTATTCCTTTTTGCTTTAACACCTGTAGTGTAAAAAAAGAGGTCTTCAGTTTTCTCAGGTATTTTATCCTTCACCATGAAGTTCTCAGCATATGAATATTTCGACTCTGTAGTGCCCCAGACAACTGCAGAACATTGCTGGAGTATGAAAAGATGAAAACAATCACATATCCATAATGAACTGACAGTTCAAAGTGGTGTCTGCAATAGCAAAGATTGGTGATAGAGCATAGACAGACAATGTTCTTTGTTCCTATGAAGTTCTAATGCCAGATTCAGGAATAAGAGGAACCTATGAAAAACACTGACCAGGGAAAAACTGATCCTTTTTCATATAGACAGGAACAGAAAAAATAGTAGAAAATAAGTTGCTGAACAGAATAATAGAAAAGGAAAGAAGACATTGATAACTGCCCATCAGGTAACAATACTGGGGATATTTTGTTAACGTGATAATATGACCTGGGTAGACAGCTTTTTAGAGAATTTTTTTTTTTTAGTTGGGTTTTTTTTGGTCTGGGTTTGTTTGTTTTTTTAGGATTTTTGACTATTACTAAGAGAGGAAAATCCATATATATACATTACTGCAAAAGAGTAAAACAAGAAAAAGGTGTTACACTGGCAGGTAGATGTTACAGATTCTCTTTAATACAAGCTCTTCGTATCTCTGGGACCCCAAATTGCATCCCATTTCTTTTGTTCTGTCACTTTATGTTTTTCTGCAAGCAAAACTCATTTCATTTACTTGACAGGGAAAATTTCTAATACAAAGTATCTGATGCTGAATACCACTCTCAGTAGCTACAAGCCATGTTTCTAAATGAATCTCTAGCTGATATCTGCCAACTGCTTTAGCAATGTGTTATTAATGTTAATCATAACCTATGACTTTCCTACTTTCTATGCCGAGTTTATACAGTGATGCAAATTCACTGATGTTTTTTCCTTTTTTCTTTTTTTTTTTTTTTTGCTCAAGAGAAGTAATGAACTGCTTGACTAGATGTGATTTTTTTTTTCAGCTTCTTACTAATACTCAGCTGATCCAAGACATGCCCAAGAAACATCAGTCAAACTTACAAAGAACAATGCTCCAGAGCAGCTGGTATCACTCTGCTCTTATCCCACTTAATCAATTCTGTTATTTCAATGGATGTAAATATTACATTTGTGGTTGCTAACATGACCATTAACTACACCTAATGTAGAACAGCTGCCATCCAAATGTTTTCTTATGTGAACTGCTACCTCTTATTTTTCATCTTGGCATTAATGATCAATAATACTTTTGATGAAAGAGAAGCAGAGACTGAAGGCATAGAGCTAGCACTGCTTGGTGATATCCTAAGTAGCACTGCCAAAGTTCAAACAGATGTTACACTACTATTGTTTGTTTCATCTCACATTTTAATACAATGAAGCCAGCCAAACCAAACCACTATTCAATAGAGTTCTAGTTTTAGTTATATAATTTAGAACTGGCCAACAGCATATGTTTCTTTTTTGAGGGCAAAACCTGATTTTACTGATTTTGTATGTACATCATTTCAATAACCAGAAAAACTTGAATGCACTAGAAAGTACTTCAGACCTCTTTTTCTCTTCCATTTTTAGAGTACCTTTATGTGTCTCTTTAACCTACTTTTTACTTCCAACAATGTAAGTAAGTTGACCCAATGCATCAAGATAAGAAACATTAAAATATGGTTAGCAATTTGTCTGGTAAAGTGGAAGAAAAGATCCCAAGAAATCAGAGATACTAGAAATAACTGTGCACAAATTCTTGATTTTCTTAACACAGAGGATCTTGCTATTACATGGAAATTTAGGCTACAGGATATGCACTGTTCGTATATTAAGCAACTTGTACTTTCAGTGAGGCTAGACAAATTCTTTAAGTTGTTGAAATGAAACTATACTGACACCCAGCCTACACTTGACTCTACTGTGGCCATCCATCTTTCTTTCCATTGTTTGGTCAGGAAAGAGAAATACTGCAGTGATAGCAACCTCCTAAAGTTCTGAATAAAATAATACTTTGCTAAGGTTGCTCACTCACGAGGCAGAAGCTGTTGCTCTTCCCACAACTGCTCTGCCAGCTTTGTATACACAAAGTTCCTGAAACCAAGCCTACTCATGCTCTCCATCAATATTAACTCAGCCTTATTAGAAAGAACACATTTAATCAGACCCCAAGTAGACTGATATCCTACTGTGTAATTCTAAATAACTTGGTAATAAGTGTTCTACAAAATACCAAATTGAGTAATCAATTATAACTGAGTAATACTATAACTCTCAGCTTGTCACTGTGGCATTTCATTACTATTTTCTCCATCTCAAGATGAACTTAGAAAGCTAGGTTGAGTACAAGTACCTCAAAATAAAAGCCAGTAGGACCACATAGTCAGA